GCCTGTGGCGCGGGAGCCAGGCAGTTTCAGGTCGAGCAGATGTGATATTCCGTTCAGGATGTCGAACTACCCTTAGAACCGGATTTTCAGCCGAATCTGCCCTCTTAGAAAAAAGTCGGTCAAAATCTGGCCTGTTTTCGAACAACGGGGGTAGTAATAGTTGAAGAATGCCAAAAATGAAATAATGAACGGCGTGGCGACAAGATTTTCGAAAGGCATTACGAAATTTCCGGATCAAATTTCGGGCAGTGGCGCAGTCTCCTATTTTTCTACACTCTCTCCGGGCACTGGCGACCAACGGCAATCGATGCTCGTCTGTGAATGCGTTCCCGTCCGCTACACGGAACACTGCTACAATGTTCGCGTCGCGTCCGCTGCTGCAATGTTCGGGTCGCGTCTTGGCGCGCTACCGTGAAGTCTGAGTGCTCTCCAACGTGGATGTAACGTCCCATGTTTCTACACTGAATCACTGATTACGTATAGCCCTCACGTGGGGGCTCCCAAAAATTAAGCCGCTAATGTGAAGATTTAAGATCCTTCAGAATTATATGCATTGATTTTAATGAGATCAGAGCTCGACAAACGGCACATTTATCAGCAATTCTCCGGCAAACTAGGGCATTTGTGAGTAGTTTTTGCTGATACATATCTTTTGCATGACCACGTACACGTGAAAGGTAAACTTTAAGGAGACTTCCTCGTCAAAGAGAGCTAGACAGACAGAGGGATTATTGATTGAACGACATCCACGGTCTTTCGTCAAGGTACGTAATCCTAGGGAAAAGCATGATGGGGGCTGCACTGGTGGGAGGGAGGAGTCGTAAAATGCAAGAATTATCCGCAGCGGATGATATCCCCTGCTTCCGGTACCAAGAAATGAAATGAAGTCCTCAAAGACAGTTCCCGCGAACAAGTGATCTATGAGGTGCCTCCGTGCATTCGACATTCAGGTCCGCACTCGCAGAGAATTGATCTCTTTCGTTACTCGAAACGGCGAGATAAGGAGGCTACAAATGCGTGACTATTGCACCCTCTATTATTTTCACTCTTCAGGACAACGGCTTACACGTGGAATGACATGTGTGCATTGTGTTGCTTGGAGCGTCGTAGGGCGATTCTCTATGCTCGTCGATGAGAATCCTAGCTTGTCAACTCTTTTGCGAGCTTACGAGTTGTTCTGCTTTCCCTGGATACGATTCTGAAAACAGTATGCCAATGGTAGTCCAGTTCGCAAAGCAAAATGAGTTAGGCGCTTCTCAAGCAACAGCGATGCCATCGATCTGGAGCGAAAGCTCGTCCTGCACTGCTTACCGTAGACCTTTTCTCATAAACCAGAGTTTTGAAAGCTACTTTTTGTCTCATTGGTTCCGTTTTCTTTTTTTTTTGCTTGATTTCAGACGGTATATAGTACTGGCGGGTGCAAGGAAACGACTCGAACCAGAGTTTGCACCGGAAGGCAGGGGGGGGAAGAGGGGTTTAGTTGCCAGCAAATTAGGAGGACTCGTACAATGAGGCTGTGTGTCTATCATGGACTGGTTTCGTTGAGGGTGTTCACAAGGTATTTTCTGCTTCTTCCTCTACTAGAAAGACACTTATTGGCTGCTGGTTCATACTTGAACGCCACCTCCTCATGATACCCTACCGCGAGAAGTGCCAATATGCCCCGAGGGGCATCCAAAAATTCGGCCCACAAAAGTGGTGGAGTCCCATAAAAGTGTAGAAACCGCGTCCTCGTCGCTCGTTCATGCTGGCAGCTCGCAATTGACTCGTATATGCGACGGGTTAACGCCATAGGGAAAATTTTTCTATATTACCCAGAGATATATTCGGAGGCCACATTCGGAATCTAGAGTGTACATGACGATGGTGCAACTAGAGCTGCACAACAAGTTGCTCGGCTTCAGCTTTTTATTATCTCGTCTATTTATTTGCTTGTTTTTTTATGGTTTTTATGAGATCTGCCGAGCATTCCACTCTCTTTAGAACTGCAGTATTCTTGAATGCCTATTTCGTTTTTTTAGTATGTTGCAGGGTAAACCGACGGCACTAATGTAGACAAGAGGGAAGGGACACTTTGTGTTTTACATAGTCAATGCTGAGGCTTGACGACAAAATGTTCACTTACCTCCGTGGATACTGGTCCCTGCTACAGGCAAGTGAGTGAGCCGCAGTAGCGCGCTACTTTGTCCGCTCGAAAATGCACGGAAACGAGCCTATAGGGTGAGAATACAGGGTGCCGTACTCATGCTTCGCCGCTCCATCCATCATATACGTGTGGCGTCGTAGCAACGTCCCGCGGCGAAACTCAGCGGTGGAGAAAAATCAGAAAAGAGGGTGCAGACAAGTAGCGCGTTCGGATATGGTTAGGCGTGTGCCTGGCCATGTGTCAGTGCGGCCGGAAAGAGCATGGCACCCGGGCATCATCCTCTCCAACCCCGTTTCGGTGCACTTTTTGCACCGACAGTGGAAAGTGGTGCAGCTGCGGATACATTCACCTCAATCAGGATTCATGAAGGTGAGCAAGCAGTTTGTTTTTATTGGAGATATATTTTCGCGAAACTGACCCTCGCTGACTCTGGTCATCTGTGCTCAAAACTGAACTTTGGGAGTCGGCAGAGAGGCGCGAAGTCGCGGCATCTCAGTACAAGTTGACTTGGAAGATAGAGTCGACGAGTAATGCCGCTGCCAGCGCCGATCGGTGTGGGAGTGGAAGGGGGCGGGGGGGGGGGGGGGCACAAGAAGTTTCTACAAACTTTATCTTTTTTCGATAGCAGCGCAGCGCAGCTCTCTTATTCCCAAGACAATTCGTACTGCCTCGCTGGTAAGGAATCCCGTTGGCTACCTCAGTGAACAATCTGCGGGAAATATAATGTAACTACCCTCTCCCCCTTCCAAACTTTTCATGGCTTCACAAGACTCCACAACACTACCTTCTACCTGCTGGATCAACACGACAATTGGGAACAGTGAAAGTGCAAAATGTCCCTCGCTGCAACTGCGCTCCGCTGCCATCTCAACATGAGTCCGGTGCGGCGGGTGGACTCTATCTCCCATCAGCCCGTCGCCGTCGCCGAGTGGTCCCGCCAGCCCTGCACAAATATTATATTCTTCCACCCCCCCCCCATCCACCCATTTAAGTAGTTTCTCCCTGTAACTGAACTGAAATAAGCCGTTATCGGTGTCGCTCTGACTGCGTAGGAATACAGGAACGGTACAACATTTATTACATCTACAAATTTTTGTCATAAAAGACCATAGATAGCTTTACGAATGATTTCAATAGCTGGCGGACTTTGTAGAATTGCCATATGTTCAGCGTTAGGAATTTCGTGAACGAAAACCTGAAAATGACGGCATTTCTTGAAAGTATCTTCATATCCTAAAGTTTTTTCTTTTGGCGCAGTTCTTTTGGCGACGGGGGAGGGACATTTTGCACTTTTTGCTACTTCTTGAATTATCGAGCCATCTGGGGAGCTTCGTCATGAGATTACAGGAATCGACAGGTTCTACCGTGGTGGCTCGACAAGCTTGCTCCCGCTTCACAAGAGTCTCACAGGTTTCACTAGAACGAGACTTGTGAAGCGGAACAAGCAGCGGAAGTGCAAATGCCCTCTCCGTCGCCCAAAACCTGCGCGCCTTTTCCTCGGAGGAGAAGGATTTTTTTACTTTCAAGCCAAGCAAACGACGAGAAAGCATGCAAGTACTGTCAATCGCGTGCTGAGGTATCGACTGCTATGAAGGGGCCAGCCAAGCGCGTTTGATTTCTCTATGGCTATTCGAAGTTGCTGAGAAACCGCGTCAGAGGCGCTCCGTCCAAACACAGCGCTATTTCTTTTCTGCGTTATGAACACGTTCGCGAGAAATGGTGGAGAACCCACAGAACCATCTGTTGGCCTGCTAGTCTGCCCGTTTTCCTTCGATGAAAGAGAGCGGATATTCACTGCGGAAAGCTACTAAGCGCTGTGAAATTCTCCCGCCATCCAAAATGATTCGAGGAATTGCCTTTAGAAATCCTTTGGCCCGCCTTGTTAAATGGTAAGAGAAAACATCACCGGGTTTTCCCTTTGGTTTATTGGATTCGTTCCACCGCAGACACACCTCTGCTGAAATTCGATTTACCGTGCCGTCACCATCCCCATACGTTACGGATGGCTGATAATCCGGAAAATAACCTTTGCCCCAGCTGAATTGTTCTGGTGTAGGTACTCCTGTACCGTAGAGGCAGTGGACCTAAATAAGAACTGAGTAAAAGTATTTCAACGCTTTCACTATGTACGGTGGAACAGAGATGGAATAAATCAGTGCAGGCACATTCCGCGAAAAAATAAGGCTATGACCTCTCAAATGTGTCGGACGATCCGGAAGGCGATTTTTGAGGCTGCGCTACTTTCAAAATGTGAAAAACGGCAAGAACTCTCCCTAGAAGCTGGCCTTAGGCCCATGGACACCCCTTAGGCCCATGCCGACCCTCACCGGCTGCTAGCTACTAGCTAGTAGCCACTATGTTATCTTTCTCTATAACATTTCGGACTACTTTTTACTGCGCTTTTCTCCGCTAATCAGATACTTAGCACTTTTTGTGGCCTATTTGAGTTCCGTTTCCCGCAAATTTGCGGTCGCGAACTGTGCCTTTAAGGCGACTACTACCTAATTTCTTGTCCACTCAACTTCCCGGACGTGAACCTCTTTTTCTGAACTCTTCGTTATCAAGACTTGCCTTCACACCAGGCGCTTCCAGATTACCATTTAATTGCGCTGCTACCTTGTACTGCTCCCAACCGATAGGATAGCCGATATCATGGAAGAATTCTTGTACGTCGGCCATCTAAATTATATACTATGCGCCATTTATGGAACCCACTAGGCACACAAATTTTCTAAAACTTATTGCTTTAATGGGATCTCGTACCGTATAATTCTTCTCGAATGTACTGGCAAGAACATCAGTGTCATTCCAGACGGCTTTACTGGGGAAGAGAAACGCGGAAGAAGTAAAGGACCTGAAGAAAGCAAGACGTAGGGCGCCGAACAGTTGCGCGCGGACGCGTGAAATTCCGCTATTTTTGAATAGATTTATATGAATGCACAAGGGTGTCGCAATCAAGATGACAGTTTCTCACGCAGTGACGCAACGCAACCGCACGCGGCCGTTCCTGGACGCCTCACAACGAAATGTAACTTCGGTTCGACAAATTGAAGGGAAGTGAATAAATCTGACCTCTGCATTCCTCTCAGTCGACTAGGTGGTAAAAACACTCTGAAATAGTCCATGTTGTATCCAGAGGCAAAAAGTCGAATAAGTTGCATTGCGCCACCCCAAGCACCGGCCAGTGAGATGTGTGACTCGATAAATTTGTCTTTCCATGCCTAGAAGACTAGTTCTTTGCAATAGCAGCATCACTGAGTCTGCGTTCAGACTCGGCGATGACGCGCGTCGATGCGCTATAACGCGCTGTAATGCGTTACAATTGCAGCAGCGCTCCAGCGCTATAGACGCATCGGATTGTGGTAAGGCAGCGCCTGTCCTTCTGTTATCCTTATACTTTCTCAAAACACAAGCGCCGGGTGCCGATCGATTCCGAATGTTGCGCGCCGACGCGCGTTACAGTGCGTCATCGCGAAGTCTGAACGCTGCCTAACGCGGAGATTCCGAACTGGGTAGTGGAAGCTGCCACATACCTGATCAACGAAATGGTTGTAGAAGTAAAGCATCAGTGGATTACCCATGCTATGACCCAGGATAACCACTTTTTGGTTATCGTTGTAGCGGTAAGTGGTCTCAATAGTGACTTTCAGAAGATCGAAATAGATATGCAGCTCATCTGAAACAACACTCACAGCTGTTCTTTTTGTCTTCGTTCTAAGAATCCGTTCATACTTTGCGTCAACGCCTTGAGCGTATGCCAGCGTTTCGTAGTCGCTGAAAACACTAGCTTACGCTCAAAACGCTTGATCGATACGTATAATTTCTTAGTCGCTCAAAACGCTGCCGTGCGTTCCAAACCCAGACGCAAGGTATGAACACAGCGCGAGATTAATAACGGAAGAGCTCACTGGGTGATTTTCTAAAGTCGAATGGTGCTCCTATAACGTTTTTCCCGCGGCTGTAACCCCATGAGACCATCATATCCACGATTGTGAAGAAGTAAAGCCCCTGAGATGCCTGAAACAGAGCGTAAGATATTCTCTTAAGTAACGAAGCCATACCTAAGTGATAACAGTTTGAAAATTTGGAGCAGTTGAGACTCAACCTTGGGACAGCACTGTGGTGGCGCTCACTTTTTTTATTCAGATACAGGAATATTCCTACATAAATTTTGTAAAGAATGCTGGCTATCTCAACTATGGCACGTCCTGGCGCTGGCACTGAAAAATACGATTCCCCCCACCCCAAATTTCCTCATGTGGTACGACCTCCCTTCTCACCCTTACGACCTCCCTTTCCACCCTATTCTCGCTCTCAAAGGACTTCCTAAAAATTTGCCGTCGCGCAGGGGGGAATGTGAGGTCATCTACGGCTCACTATCAGAAATAGTTGAACTGCAGACTGGAGGGGGGGGGGTGAGGAGTCAACAAACGGAGAACTTCTCTCCCTTAATCCAACTGAGTCCCTTTCACCTTTAACGACTGATCAAGCCCCCTTTCCTTCAGCGAGCCTACATCTCTCCCATCTAGCGACCCAGTAAGGATATAGTATAGTGAGAATCCCATCAGTGAAAGGAATCGTAGGTTTTCTCGTTTTTCTCAATTCCCTGACTGTTCTCGTTCTATGTGCGCTATATAGCCCCGACTCTCACGAAGTCAGGAATAATAGGTAGGTTACCGAGAAGAATTTTGGGGAGGGGGTGGGGGTTCGCACTGACATCACAATGTTATACACTGGCCACAGTACTTGGGACTCCCCAGCGTACGAAGTGTCCTGATCTTAATGCAAAAAGGCGAATCTTACAGGCACAGTTACGTGGTTTGTGTGGGCGGATGTAGTCAAACAGGTCAGGGTTTTTTTTTCTGCGTGATTTTGAAACCTCCGGTCGAAGCAAGTCCCGTCACTACCCTAACGGTGGTCTATTGGTCGAATCCTGTCCTGGATAGTTTAAGCTTTCATGTCTCTGGAAAAGGCCCATCGAACGAGACTTCTCTGGAA